ATAATTTGACAAAATTCCCTTTATCAGGGTTGCACATGGCAAGAGGGGAAAATAACACAAAGAAAAAAAATATATAGTTCCCTGTAAAAGTTAAATTTGAATTATTCTGCTTTGAATTAGTTCATTCAAAGAAATGGATGGATTCAATACTCAGTCTGGGGTCAAAGTTGAAGTGTAAAGAAACGGAAATGTTGGTCGTCGTCGGTGCATCCCGAGCACACAAATTCATTTTTGACTCACTGCAGGGTTTCCTTTCCCTGCACACAAAGCTCCAGAAGGAATGGCTATCGACTCGACTTGTAGTACCTCTGGAATGAATCAATGCTGTCTGGGCTTACATTAAGAATTAATTACATTCTTCTACACTACACACACACACACACACACGCACACACACTGATGAAGACAAACACAGTGTTCAGAGGGCAGGTTTGTGTTTTTTAAATAAATGAAATGAGGTGATTTCGGTCAGTAACGTGCTTCTTGTGACACTGTGTGTATCTTACTTTAAAGATGGCTGATTTATGTGTCATGGTTAGGAGTTTGTGTGTGTGTGTGTGTGTGTGTGTGTGTGGGGTGCACAAGTTTGTCCATGTGTGTGTGTTACCCTCTCTAAAGTCGGCCCAGACAGACATTATTTTCACATCACTGAGCCAGCTTCATCTTTTTTTTAATCCTTTGACGTATATTTACAGGTAGAAAAACCCCGGGCCTTTTCCTACTGTATGTTCTCTTTCCATCTGTTTATCGACAACGTTGGAGAGAGGGAGAGAGAGAGACAGAGAGAGAGAGAGAGAGAGAGAGAGAGAGAGAGAGAGAGAGAGAGAGAGAGAGAGAGAGAGAGAGAGAGAGAGAGAGAGAGGAGGAGGAGAAGCCAAAATAAAAATGCACACAGACGTATTCAGAGATTCACAGGCTGAAGTGGCTCCTGTTTTTTAAGCTATGCTTCCTACACTGGCAACAACAAAAAAAAGAAGGTTCAATTATTTTGGCATCGATGCTTTGGTCACAAAATACCGACACTTTTTGTTCATTTGTGTGTTTTCACTTTAGTTTCATTTTTCTTGTTTGTTCTTGAAAATAAGTCCCGTAAGTCATTTGACACCCTGACCACGTGTGTGTGTCCCAGTACAGAAAAAAAGGTAGGTTTGTTGTAGTCCTGTCATCGCACCTCCGATGCAGTCCCGTAAAGAGGCACAGATTCTCTTATAAATTATGTGACTGTGAATGAGTGAGCAGGGGGGGAGTTTGAGAAGGAGGGGGTGCCCCCCCCCCTCCCTGAGCTCTCGCATCCCCCCCTGCACTCCCTTTTTTTAACGCCCAGTGAGTACTTCCCGTCAGCCTTTTTGCGAGCACGTTCTGCAGCACAGTTGCTGCAGCACTTTCCTCTGGCAAAGATTGTTCTTTTTAACAAGCACGCAGAAACTGCCCTCCGCCCAAGATTCTTCATTTGCTTTCCACAGACCAGGAAGAAGAGATACAGGGGGAGTTGGTAGGAGGGGAGGTGAGGGGAAACACACACACACATTCAAATACATATGGAAACACACGCAGAGGAGGCAGGCAGAGCCGTGTGATTGGTCAGGAGAGGTTTTCAGATGACAGGGAGAGTTTTTTTTTGTTCCAATCACAGGTGGTGTTCATCGAGGTGGAAAATTATTGAAGTCCAGTGGAGTGATTTGGATCCACGTCAGGAGAGAGAGTAAACAGATTTGGGGGGAGAGAAAAACAAAAACAGAGAGAGAGAGAGAGAGAGAGAGAGAGAAAAAAAACAAAAAAACGTCACACAATTAGAAAATTGAAGATTTTTAAAATTCATAAAATCTGTGTAATTTTTGTGCCACCGAAACCCAAAGTGGACCACCAGTCTGTTAAAAAAGTGAAAGTCATTCCTTTGGAGCTGCCAATCAGAAGTTTCACACAGTACGTTTACATGCACGGTGAAGTGGAGTTACGGTTTTAATGAACTACTGTTCTACGAGCACTGAGGGGGAGAATCGATTAAAGGATGGAAGTAATATGTCCCCTCTCAGATGGTGACTATTGGACCTTCTTCTCATGGTTAACCTATTACATCATCTGTTTCTACCTCTGGAGACTGTACAGAGCAGGGATCACTTCTTCAACCATTTACGCTTCCGCAACTTAACATTAGCCGTTTTCACATGTGCACTCCGGATAATATCTAGATATTTACAAGAGGACCGCTCTCCCCTCTGACTTTCCCTGTCAGAGGGGGGGGGGGATTTCCCGAGGTAAGACGTGATGTAAATAAACAACGTGGAAGTAGAGGCCGAAGCAACAGTGTCCGCTACACGACGTTATAATGAGAATATTTGCCTTTATATCAATGCTATGTGTAATCCAATGGAATGACAACATCCACAAAAGAGAGGAGAACAACAAACTGACGAACAGAAAACAGAATGCAGACGTTTAATTAGAGCACGGAGATCGTATATGTATATAAACGTCATTCTCTTTCTATTGGCTCAAATTGAAATCTCCGGAGTATATGCTGCTGCGTTCAGACATCAGCTCACTCAGACTTTCTGCGGATAAAATACTAGAGGCCTGGCCAGGGAAATTCGCTGAGAAAAATGCGGCTGTTTGCGTTCACACACAGCCTAAAGACCCTCTGGGTAGCCAAATCTCCGGAGTTTTTCAGGAAATTTCTGTATGTGTGAAAAGGGTTATTGAAGGGGAAGCGTCACAGGGTCTGAATACAGATCTTATCTTGGTGTGTTATACGGCTTTCACACTTTGCAGAAACCTCCAGAAAAATGCTTCCAGAGGGGAGCTGCATGTGTGAACGCAAACAGCCACATTTTTCACTCTGACTTCAACCTGGAGTTTCTTCTGTCAGACCCCTAGTATTTTTTCCCGCGGTAAGTCTGAGTGAGCTGATGTGAGAACGCAGCAGGATATTCTCTGGAGAATTCACCTCGAGCCAATAGGAGGAGGGGGGGGAGGGGGGGGGGGAGTGACGTTTACATCCTGCCCTGTATGCACAAGATCACTATGATGTCTGTGCACGTAATTAAACGTCTGCATTAAGTTTTTCTGTTCTTCAGTTTCTTGTTCTCTGCTCATTTGTTGATACTGTGATTCTGTTATACCACATTGATATAAAGGCAAACATTCTCATTTCAGCATCGTCTAGCGGACTCTGTCGCTTCGTCCGCTACTTCCTCGTCTTTTTTTTTTTATGCACGTCTTATTTCAGAAGACCCCCCGCCCCCCCTCCCTGTCTGACAGGGATAGTCTCCCGCTGTGAGGAGCATATGTGAACAACCAGGTCAGGAGAAACTCTGGAGAATTTTCAGGAGTGCATATGTGAAAACGGCTTTAGTCCGACTTTGAGAAATTCAACTTAGTACGATAATTTTTATGTAAAACCTGAGGTGTGTTTTGGTTCAGGAAGGTTGGAAACAGACTGAGTGTGCACTTCAGGCAAAAGTAATCATCCTCAACAGAAAGATCACACTCTATAGACATTTGTCTTCTTTATTGTTTCTTATCAGCGAGCCATACGACTTTCCAGTGATGGCTCCATTTTAAAGATAAGGCCAGCAAATCACAGGCAGAAGACAAAGCATTTGAAAGAGAGCATCACCTCGGCCAGTTAAGAGAGAAAAAGGAAACATGCAGAGCTCAGAAAAGATGACAGCATTACGCCAACAACCAGGAAGTGTAAGTAAGAAATGACTGAGGAGGATGGAAAGGTGTTGAGATGAAAAGATGCTTCAGGAAACGTTTGAACGAATACAAAGGTGACAAAGATCAGTAAACTAAATAAAAAAATGTTAAAGCAACAGGAAGGTGTGAGTGTGCAGTCCCATACAGCGTTCAGTATGTGTTAGTGATGATGATGATGATGGACAGAACATGAATGAGGCCTTTAGACAGAGAGCACAACAACAAAAGCAAGGACACACGACCTCCTGCCTCGGAGCTACAACACTGAGCAGCGTGATTCAAGGAGTTAGTACAAAGATTTCAGAGGAAGAAGGCCGCAGGTGAGTCTTCCACTTTGACTTTTTAATTCAACACTTTCCTGCAATCGAACTTAATTTGCAATCTGGAAGTCTGAGGCAGCCTTTGAGCTCTGATTCGACTAAGACGGCGCAAACTGTGAGCCTGAATCCTCTGTAAGACGTTCAGGGGTTAAATGTTAAAACAGAATCCATTTAGATAAGGCGAGACCAGCAGGTGAATCTGAGTCCAGTGGGACAGTAAGACTCTGTGGTCGACGTTTTCAGGGTTGATTACTTAACTTAATTGTTCACTATTATTGACTGACCCAACACACAATTCGTTATTCAGTACTTATGAATGTTAATGAGTCCGAGCAACATGACCTGTTATCCCGAATATGTAAAGAAAATATCATTTTGACAAATAAATCAAAGTATTTTTAAGAAAAGAAATCTTTATATTTATAAATTGTTTTCTTTTTGTGTTTTTTTGTGCCTGTTGCTGTTGTGTTAAATTTGTTTTTTAATTTATTTTTTACTGAAAGTCATATTTCTTTATTTCTCTTGGATCCTTTTCATATTTTCTCTCTGTGATTGTTAACGGTTTGTTTGAATGATTTTTTTGAATGTCTTCTTTTCTTTGTCCTGTGTGAAGCACGTTGAACGGCCTTGTTGCTGAGATGTGCTGTATAAATAAATGTGCTTTGTCTAACTTAACAAAGCCCTGTTTTTCATTCACCCGATGGGATGTTACACTATTTAAATAATCTGAAGCTACAAAGGGGATTAAGAATCGTGAGTTCTTCAGCTCTTGAAAAAGCTTGGAGAAGACATTTGGGAACTTTTCTGGTTTTTCAGTATCTCACAGAAATATTGTTATGAATCAAATGCTTTCACATGTTTTCCACTGCAATTCAGTGCTGGACTTCATGGTCACTAAAGTGTGAGAACTATTGCCTGTGAGAGACGATGCCACAAAAAACACATTACGGCGTCTTGTAGATAAGAAAGCTGACAACTCACCATCTTTGCAGATGGTGCTGACCACGCAGGCTCCCGCCTCCAGATTGTAACCACCGACACAGCTGCTGCAGTTTCTCTCGCCGGGCCCCGAGCACTCTAAGCAGCTATGGTCACACCTGTCAGCAATCATAAAGAAGAATTCAATACGAGCATATATATACACAGCAGGAGAAAGATTAGATTGAGGATGAGTCGTCTGACTTTAATATTCTGAAATGTTCCCTTTCTAAAGTTGAGCTCAGGTCATGATCTTGTTTTTAAGACGCTGGTCCCTGGGCCCAGTGGGTAGAGCAGGCGCCCTATGTACAAAGGCTACAGTCCTGACGCAGTTTGTGCACTCTCTCTCCCCTACTTTCCTGTCTCTGTTTATAGCTCTCCTATCAAATAATTAAGAAGCTCTGAAAAAAATATGCTTTTCAATTTCCAACCCTTGACCTTTTGCTGCATTAGAGAGTACACAAAGATGTCACTTTACACTCAGATGATAATCAGTGCATTTATATTTTGTCTGTATTTTTAACATCATAAGTTTTAACCAAATCAGCAGCTGAGCTTTTTGTAGTCTTTAAAGGCTTTATATGCGATTTATAAAGCTTTGTAAACTGTCCTGCGGCCTGTTTTGGCCGAGACGATCTTTAAATATAGACTTTTAATCTCAACCAGTTTTCTCCCGGTTGAATAAAGGTTAAAGGCTTTATATGTGATTTTTTGATCCAGCAGATGTCGCCCTTGAGCACCAGCATGAAACCAAAACAACTTGCGCTGCATTGTTGTGTTAGCATGCTAATGCTAGTGATCTTTATTATGCTGGTATCTTCACACTGCATGTAAATTTACCTGAAATGAGCGTGATCTAGAAACACAGTTAAGCAGTGAGTACAGTATGTTATTCTTGTTTTCTCTAGTCCCTCAATTAAACAACTTTTATACACGAGGGGAGGAGTCAGCCGGCTGTCCTGGCGATGTAAACAAAGTGAAGATAGGACTCTGAAAACTCTGAAAACATCACAGACAGTGGGACTCGGGTGTTACACCCATTGTAGACAGTCATGACTCAGAGTTATTTTCAGAGGATATACTTGATTTCTATTACATTTAAGTTTGCAAAAATAAAGCCTTGTTCATTTATCATCACTCCATTTTCATATTAAATTTAGAAAATGAAATACTAAAAATCTGTCCCATATGTTCACTGCAGCTTCACTTTCTGCAGCAGCAGCAGCTCAGGATGGCCTTGTTTATTCTGCAGACTGGAGATGTAAAAAGTGGTGTGGAGGTGTTGGCAGGTGTGCTGACTCACTTCTTACAGGACCTCTGAACCTGCCCGTTGTCTGCGGTCTGCTCTGACAAGTAGTATCCAGCGCTGCATGTCGACACACACCGCCAGTCCTCTAGTAAGTAGCCCTCTGCACATTTCGTGCACGCCTCGATCCCCGTGCCTGAAAAAAAAAACAAGCAGACACAGACTTGGTGTTTTATTTTGAAGGAGTTTGAAATGGATGATTATGTCAGAATTAAGAGAGTATTCTGCATGAGAAAAACAAACAAAACATAAATGACGTCCTGTGATTTATACTACAGCTGATACATGGTAGATATATGCTTTCACATCGTTTAGGGGATAAGAAAATAGTCATTTTTTTAAACAATAGACGGACTGTTTTACTGAGTCACTGCTGTCTGTTCATAGAGCCAAATGTATAGTCCTGTTTCCACCAAGCAGTCCGCTTCAGTTCTGTTTTGTATAGTACACATTATTGGCGTTTCCACTATAAAAAGTGGATGAGAAGCACGACTTTCACACAGTGCACACATCACTCTTCATGTCATTCAGATAGTGTTGGGATGAAAGTTGTGGTTAAAAAAAAAAAACTGATAAAGTCCCACCTGCACAAGTGGCACAGGCCCGATGACACGGCTCACAGGTCGTTCTGTGGCCGTTGTAGTAAGTGCCCACGTCACAGGTCATCTGGCACTTGTTTGCTTGTAGACTGTGAAGAGAAAATAACAGAATACATGTTAATGAAGTGATCGTAACCTCCAGGAAAACAGTTAGAATTTAATTTAATAAGCAGAAAAAAAAGAATGCAGTCAGAAGCACGGGCGAGTTTCAGAAAACTGTGAAAGAAGCAGCCGTAAGTGTTAATTAAACAGCTTTTACTCTGCACTGTAATTATTATTTTTTTTTTTAAACTCTTTTAATTTCTTTGATTTAATTTAATTTATTTATTTAAATTAATTTCATTTTATTTGAACATACTTTCAGATTTAATAATTTCAGTGATTTTTAAATTTTCTATTTTTTCTTCTCTTTCCTCTGCCATGATGCGTTTGATGTCTTGTGTGAAGCACTTTGAATTGCCTTGTTGTTGAAATGTGCTATAGAAATAAACTTGCCTTGCCTTGCCACTCGTGTAGAACGGAAAGCTTTCTGCGTTTTTCGCTTTGTGAAGCAATGATGAAAGCCACGCGGAGACCTGTGTTCATTTTCTTTATCTGCAGCTTTTATCTTCATTTAAAGTTGTAGACTTTATTGTGAGTGCTGACGTCTTCATACTTTTGAGGATTTGTGAGCAGCCGGCTCTTTAGTTTGTTTGTGCAGCTCTGGTGATATCAGGATTCAAGAAGCTTTTTTTTTTTTTTGTTTTGACGGGATAGAAACCACCGCTTTTGAAAAGGCCAGATGTAGAGGTCAGTGCAGACCTTTTATAAACTCCAAACTTACCTCCAGTAGGTTTGGAGTTTATAAAAGGTCTGCTGCGTACAGTCAAAGCGAGGACAGGTTTGGAGAGCTTTCTGCACTGAGCTGAAAAACAGCTGGTCTGCGTTAGCTAACGTTTCCCAGAAACAATCTCGTCTGCTCCTCTCTTCTTCCTGACCGAGCATGAGCGGTGAACTGAGTGGTACAGCAGAGACTCTGTGAATGTGTTAGTGTGTGTGTGTGTGTGTGTGTGTGTGTGTGTGTGTGTGTGTGTGTGTGTGTGTGTGTGTGTCTGTGTGAGCATGTGGGTTACTGTGGTCTCTCTGGCGTTCAGAGGAAATTATGGCTTACAAGTGTCCCCACCTCCACCTCTGGCTACAATCGAACACTCAAAGCCGGGTTCAAGACCACAATTGGTTTTAAACTCTTCACAAGTGTTTCCTTCGTGACCTATCAGGAATTCCCGGCGCCCTGAAAACACTCGATCCTCCTCTGTCAGGTCAGATGTAGCTTGTGGTTGTTTGAAGAGGCTGCTGTGGAAGTGGCCACAAAGTGAACTGGAACACGTCTGCACGGATGACTAACTGGTTTAGATCAGAGGTTCTTCAAAGTAACATCACAGACACAAAAAGAATGGGCAACAGCTCCACTTCTTTTGGGTCTCGGCATGAAACCAGTACACTGGAGCTTTATTACGCCTGGGGTCACAGAGCGAAAACTCATGTTCCCTAATAAAGCTTCCCCAGAGGAAAACAGTTGGGAAGCCCTGTTTTCTCTGGTTTTGTGCCGCAAACCCCAAACCAGCAGTGTGATACAACGAGCCGGTTCTAAATTAGAAACAGTATCTTCCTGCTGCGTTAAGAGTGGTTGAACACAAAAACCATCTCATCCGCACACCACCACACTGACGCTCGAGCCAAATGCAGAAAGAAAAACCTGCAATATTTGTACAAGTATGACAGAGGAACGGGCTGTGATGAAGACCAGCAGAGGGAGTTGACTTAACACCTCTGAGGGCGCGGTCACACTGGCCAAGCACGGTACGGATGGCCAGTGAGACCGCTCCCTGAGACTATAACCGGAGTGTAATTGAGGCCAAACAGAGCCCGTGTAAACAACAGAGCCGGTTCATTGCTTGTTTGTTTACATCCTGCGTCTTGTGTTTCCCAACACAGCGTGGCATGTCATGGTCTGCTCATCACCAGTCAGAAATGTATTTCATTATCAAGAAAAACTAGGCTTTGTCTCGAGATAATGATATAAATGTATCTGTCCCTGGTGGTCTAGTGTTTTGGATTTGGCACTCTCACCGCCGTGGTGAGGCGGCAGACTGTAGGGACTTAAACCGGACGGTCGCCGGTTCATGTCTTGGTGCGGACCAAATCTTGAAATTGGTGTGGTAGCTGGAGAGGTGCCATTCCACTTCCTCAGCCCTGCCGAGGTGCTGATGCTGTTTGTGCATGTGTTTCTATTTCAGCCTCTGTGTGTGTGTGTGTGTGTGTGTGTGTGTGTGTGTGTGTGTGTGTGTGTCTGTGTGTGTGGAGCTTGTCTCAATAACAGAGAGTAAAGCAGAATTTCCTCTTGGGGGAATAATAAAATATATCTTCTACTATAATGAGAAAGCAGCTTTGATATCCCAAGGTAATGAGGAAAATAATTTGAGCTCTTGAGGAAAAAACACAGAAATGATTTGTTGACGGGGGGAAAGTGGAATCCATAAAGTATAGGGATGCATGTCGGCTGAAGACTCAAAAAAGTAGAGAGGGGCAGCTTTCTTAAAGTACATAAAGGGAAAGTAGCTTTCTCAGTGCATTTCTAAAACAGTTACAAAAGTCTTTGGACGCAGCCCTCCCCGTTTATTTCCATCCTCTTACCATCAAAGAGAAATGAGGTGAGGGGGATTTTTTTTACACTTAAAAACAGCCCTTCTTTAAAAGCATGCGGGTGTGTTTGAGTAAAAAGGGTGAAGTGATTAAAACTGAGCCACCGCGCATCTTTGACTGATTTTAAGGCAAATCCTCCAAACTGTTTATGCAGCAATTAAAAGAAGACGTAGAGACACTCAGTTTTAAGAGTAATTCTAGCAGAATGTTTTTGTGTGCATTGATCAAATATAAATGAAAGTTATGCAGCAACACGTGTAGTCAGATTGAAATGATCTCTACATTTCTCAATGCTTTAAACTCGCTGACATCGCTCAGCTCGGCTCCTGCTCACCTCATGCCAGGTTTACATTCTGTGCAGATATTGGAGGAGGTGCACTTCTTACAGTTCTCTGAACATCTCCTGCAAATGTTGGAATCTGAAAAACAGAGAGGAAGCCAGTTATACACACACACACACACACACACACACACACACACACACACACACACACACACACACACACACACACACACACACACACACACACACACACACACACACACACACACACACACACACACACACACACACACACACACACACACACACAGAGGATAATAGGAAGCAGAAGTTTTGTTGCATTTGAAATGAAGACAGGGAGCAGAGGAGGAAAACAACGATCATGAAGAGAGGAAAGAGAGAGAGAGAGAGAGAGAGAGAGGGGAGAGATGACCAGAGAGGAAGGGGGGAGAGTGGGAATGTCAAAAAGGCTAAATCTGCAGGGATAGAAAAAGATTGGAGAGTTGGTGAGGGAGGACAGGAATGTCGATGAATATTTCAAAAGGCAGACTAAAGGCAATGACACGCTTTGACATGATGCACATGAACACTCGTGCCTTCAGCAGCGGAAAAGTTTGCAAAACAGAAAGAAAGGTAAACATAGTTTTATAACTATTTAGAAACCAGAGGATGCACGATTCTGAACATAAACTGTTATTTCTTCATTTTCAAACATCTCTGACATAACCCCCATAGCTGAGCTGAGACTGGCAGAGTATGGAAGCGAACAGTGATCAGAATTTAAATGATCGAATGCTGCTGGTGCTGTCTTGTCTGCATTGTGTCTATTGTTTGGGGTAAAATGAATTAAAATAAAAGAATTGAAAAAAGAATTCAAATGATGAAGCTAATTTGAAAATGAAAATGCATTAATAGAAATGCTTTTTAAGTTTCAGAATATGAGTGTATTATTTGACTCAAAAATAAAATGATGATTGATTTATCTAATTTGCATTTTAGTTTTCAACTTCAAAAAATGCACATTCTTTGACTAAATTAAAATTAAGAAGAAAATAATTAATTAATTTTAAATAGAGGTCAAATAATGCACCTATATTCTGAAAATTAAAACGCGTTTCTGTTAATGCGTTTTCATTTTCATTTGAACTATGATACAAATTTAGCAGGGCAAAAGCAAATGTCATTTTCTTCGTTTTAATTTTGTTCAAGAATGTTTATTTATGTTAAGTTGAAAACTAAAATGCAAATTAGATAAATTAGGTGTCGTTTTATTTTTGAGTCAAATAATACACCCATAATCTGAAAATTAAATTGCACTTTCATTTGCAAATTAGCTTTATCATTTGAATTCTGATCACTAGTCTCTTCCATAGCAGGGATCTGTCGACCGTCAGATTGTAGATAAAGGATGTCGATACGCACTTTATAGTCTCTTTTATTTTCCTTTAGTTTGGAATTGATAAGACGATCAAATATTCACCAGTTTTGACGTGCTTGTTTCATCTTATATGTGAACATTTTCTACTTCTCTTTTGTTTATCGAAGTGTGCTGGATTTGTCAGATATTTTAGAAAGAGAAACACAGGAATAAACAATGACTGTAAAGGGTCTGTGTCAATTCTCAGTCATCCAGGTCATGGTTCTTTTGAAGCTTGAATTTTACACTCATTTGTCAAAGTTTTTTTTACACCTTTACACCAAACATAAAATCAACTCAACACAGATAGAACAATCTTTACATCCTCGATATCTATGCTGAGGGATATACAGGTCAATGCATATGATAGTGACTCAGTTATCAGCTCTCCAGGTAACGTTTCCCTGCAACCCCTACCCCCCCGACAGGTGTAGCCCCCCCACTGTGAGGTGCATGTGTGAACAAACCGATCAGCAGGATTTAAAGGGGAGTCAGGTGGGCATTTGTGAAAACAGCTATTTGTAATTAAAACCACTGAAGCCACCACAGATTTTTGTTTCCAGCAGTGATGGTGTAGAACAAAGAACAACATGTTTAACTGAAATCGTGTGAACATTTTGTACATCAAGGAGTCGGTGTGGTCAGAAGTCAAACATACCGTGGTCGAGGTAGAAGCTTTCCCCACAGGTGGCCACACACGTGTTGGAGCCCTCGTTGAGGTGGAAACCGGGCCGACATGTGGTGCACTGGTCGCTGCGGCTGCCGACGCAGGTCTCGCACAACGAGGAGCACTTCTTGCAGCGCTTCCTGTCGTCGCGGAAAAAGCCACTGGGGCACTCGAACACGCACATCCTGGAGACGAGAGGTGAGAGAAGGAGGAGAACAGAGAAGGTCACAAGAGGCAACAGTGACACTCAAAGAGAGGACCGTTTACATGAAACACATCCAGGTGTTAGTTTACTCTGCATGTTTAATACAAACAGAATCCATCCATAAGCTCAGTGTAATGTTAACCAGATAAAAATGTCTGACAGGAAACATACACGTCTTGTGTAACGGCTCTATGGGCACAGTGTTTTGTGTGAAATCTGTAAACTTAAACTCCAAATTAAAAACAGAGTAGATGTCAACCTTCTTATGCACCAATAGCACATCATTATTTGTAACCAATAGAAGCAGAGGCTCAGAGTGTGTGCGTGCAGCTGCTGTATGATGAACAGGTGCAACATCTGCTGAATTACTTCATAGCCCTCCATCACCCCCCCCCCCCCCCGCCCCATTTCAGCCTGAGGCTCCTTTCCTGAAGGTAAAAAGATCTCTGAAATCCTCAAGAGCACCACGCGCGCACGTGTGAAACACTTAATCCACATGTGCACACATACACACTTGCCAGGAAGTTTGTCCTCCGACTTCAGTTTCCCATTTCCCAGCCCTTATCGGCTTGTATTTGACAACTCAAAATGGATGTAGAGGATATATTATTTTTAGTTTTTGCTTATTTTAATAGGACAGTGGATAGAGTAGGAAATCGGGATGACGTGCAGGAAAGGAGGCACAGGTCGGACTTGAACCCAGGCCTTCTTGGAGAACTATAACCTCCTCAGTCTGTAGATGGTGTGCGACCTAACCGTTAGGCCACCTGTGCCCCGGATGTAGAGGATATTAACATTATGTCATAACAAACTTCTTCTTTTTTTTTTTTTTTTTTTTTTAGATTTTGGATTATTTTGAAATGTTACTAAACTAAATTGAAAGGAAATTGAATAAATACAATAACTCCAGGATGTTTTTCTTTAGATTTCTGAGTATTGAAGTAAAGAAGAAATGATGTGCAGTAACTCCTGGATAGATTTCTTTCTTTAAATAATTGCCGATCAAACGTAGAGAATTGCTCGTCCATACACACACACACAGAGACCTTTTGGTGAGTGTGGACTTTCAAACACACATGTAGGGATGTAATTATGTGACCATTAAACACCACCACACCTCCTTCCTCCCACCACTCCCCTGGTCTGCACTCATCAATTGCTCCCTGTGGTGGCAGAAAGGGCAGCACACCTCTGAAGTGGGCTAATGATAAGCTCACACATTCTCATGCACCTGCATCGCTTTGCCTTTTATTAGCGCAGAGACCCGTCGACACAAAGGCAATTACGACAGACTTTGATCCTAATGGGATCCTAAGGCCGCGCAAAAAAAATGTTGCACACACACACACACACACACACACAAATTCACAGTGACGCATGCAGAAGTGCACACAGCTAACCGGGTGGAGGAGAAACTCAGAACCTTACCATGACTGACAAAAAAACAACACGTCTGACACATTCATCAGGAAAAACACCTGCAATGACTGCAAACGACGGAGGCCGGCGTCGACCTCTGAGCTGACATGGTGGTAAAAAACAGAAATCAAAAAGGGAGCCAGGATCACTTCCCTGAATTCAGGACAAAAAGGGCAACATGACTCAGAGTCTGAATGTGACAGCAAACCAAGAGTTTACGTCATGTCCTCATGAAACGGCAACTATTTATTCCACATAAGGTCGGTGCTTTAGAAGTAGTGCCACGCTGAAACCTAACAAGAGAGCTCAAGAGCCACCTGTTTTCACTCGGTTTCATTTATAGGAAGAAGAAGAACAACAACAACAAGACGAATCAGAAATTTAAATATAACGTTTAGAAATGCTTCTAAAAGAAAAGAGTAATAAGTTTGAGAGAGAGAGCTGATCTATCCAATCAGAAACATCAGAAACATGGACAGTTCAGAAGTCTGCAGTTGATGAATTCCTTCATGCAAACAGAGCTGTTGTGTCTCTGACGCCCTGAGCTGATTTAATCCACTTATTAGTCGATTGCTTTGCAGCTGGATTCACTTTCCTCCCGTTTCAAACTTTCTGATTTGAGACCCTCTCAGCTGATATTGATCTCTCTCTTTATTTGACTGTCTCTTCCCCTCCCAGAGGACTTCTTCTTGCTCTTTAACAGTCAGATGCTGTTGAAATCACACACGAGCCTTATGGATCCTCTACGTGCAGCTTTGGGCTTTTAATTAAGAAGGAAACAAAAATAAAAATTGACTCAGGTGGAGTCGATGGACAAATTACTGAACATCTTTATGCACATTTAGAAAAATCTATAACTGTCAAAAAAGAGAGAAAAAGAATATTACCTAATTAGAGTTAGTTTTCTCTGTCAGGGTGGATTCCTGCTTTTATAAACACATGAACAAAACACTCATTAAAGGATTACTTAACGTGCCATGTCTTGGTACAGACTGGATTTCACCCAACACTGTGACATGACTTCTGAGAAATGCTGCGACCAACATCACTAAACCCTAAAAAATTTAAAACCAAATTGTGGTTTTGTTTTAGACTTTTTGATGTGATGACAGAATTATAACTGGTTGAAAATTGTCCTGGATGTCAGACCTTTTTTCACCATGTTTGCAACCAAATATCAGAGTCTGAATCCCTGGTGGAGCTCACTGGGTAAATGGTAAATGGACTGTTTTCTAGACTTCTGACTACTCAAAGCGTTTTTACACTGACATACCTACACATTCACACACTGATGGTAGAGGCCGCTGTGTGAAGGTCCCAACAGTATTAACTAATCCCATTCATACACCGCCGACAAAGCAGAAGGAGCAACAAGGGGTCAAGTGTCGTACCCAAGGACACATCGGACATGAGGCTGCAGGAGCTGCTGGATCCAACCCCGACCTTCAGGTCGAGAGACGAACGACTCTACCACTGAGCCACCCATGACATCCAGTGTTAATCTTGTCAATGAAATAAATGAAGGTCTTTTTAAACTACTCAGCTATGACGACGACGAGACGAAACTCCGCTATTTGACGACTTGATAAATAATATAACTTCATCATCTAATTGACGAAAATGTGACAAAAAGGAAAAACTACATTACAAGTGAGGATTATCACGTCCCCCCTCAGCTGTTCTAAAATCATTGTAAAGTTTAAACCATAGCGGACTTCATCAAAGGTTTGCGTGTGTGCAACAATGTGCAGCCTGTCGCCTGCAGGTCCGTGAAGCCCCGCCCCCTGGAGCTTCTGATAATCAAAATGAAAGCTTGCGTGTGACTTTGTTGACTAAAATGATGTGCAATTTCAGTCAGTGACTAATTGACTAAATTAAATCAATAACAAATGACTAATATCTGACTCAATATAAAAGGACATTTTCGTCAGGAGACTAAATGACTAAATTAGAAAATGGTGTGAAGATTAACACTGATGACATCTTATATTGTGGTTTGAGTATTTATTCCCCTACACAATCAGTATTCTGTAAGGTTCTGATTTCTTTGGCAGGCTGACCTGGTGTTGTTCTTGAACTTGAGGAAGTAGTGCAGGCAGTTGATGCAGTGATGGGGTCCAGGACCTTCACAGCCGTCGTTGCACTCAGAGTCACAGGGGCCTGGAGACAGAGCGAGGTGACAGTGTGAAGGAAAAGCTTTTATAGACTAATAATGTCGAGTTTATGGAATCGTTACGGCGCCTTTTAATGACACTCTTATTCCTAATGTGGCACTGTGGTCGTGACAGGACAGTAAAAAGCAGCAGCTGCAGGAGATTTATGTCCCCCTGCTGCTAACTGGAGCTAACCTGTCTGTGCACCGCTCAGGATTTATCACCCACCGTTGTACTCCTCGGTGAAATCCTCCTCGGTGGGCGTCAGTATGTCTGTGGAGCGCGGCTTATCGCTGCGCAGGTACGGGTGCACCGAGGTGCCGTACAGCACCAGCGACCACTCCTTCAGCTTGCCTGAGGAAACAGACACGTCGTTAAAGTCAGCTGAGACGGATTCTCTTCAAAATCTGTGAACATCCTTTTGATATTTATTTGATCTGCGCGTCTCATAAACAGAATTGCCAAAGAAAATAAAGAAACAGATGTGTAACGCTTGGCGGTTGTGAAGTGTTTTTTCTTCTTGTTCCTGCTCATGTGTAAGATGTTAACTCGGACTCATCCGTCATTCAGCACCAGATTACAGCGGGGCTGCACAGTTAATCCCATGTCATTGTTATCTGGATATGAGCATTTGTCTCAAAAGTCTCAATTTGTCACAATATTACAATGTTTGCTCACTTAGTATGCGTACATTTTGCCTTCATTGGTTGGAGGCCTGCAGGTATAACAGCCGTGCCTTCACACCATTTTGCAGTCCGATCAAACTCATTTCGAACTTGCACAGCTCTGGAGAACCCCCTTTATTGTTATTACACATTTACCACTGTCATCACTGTTTTTGCAAACTTAAACCTCTTACCTCCAGGAAGTATTTTTACATTCAGTTGACAAGCCTGAATAAATGTTGTATTTCATTTTTCATTTTTTTAAACCAGTAGGAATGTTAAGTTAAATCCTTGATGTATAAATCTCTATTCTTGTTTTTTATATAAGTGCTTATTTATGTATCTATTCTTATATTGTTTTATTTGCTCTGACAACCTGCTGCTGTAACACCACAATTTCCCAGTTTGGGATCAATAAAGTCATTCTATTCTATTCTATCTCGCTATCCGCCACCGTTGCATAATTTGGAGGTGAAAAAAAATGTATTCTGGATGCAGCAGAAAAGGTTTTGTTTTAAACACCAAGAACAGCCGACGACTTGGAGGTAAGCACATCCAGCTGTAGATGTTTGGCTTAATATGTTTTTGTTTGAGGTGAATATTTAACTATGTTTCACTTGTTGTGTCTTTTTAACATATTCATGTGATGCATCTTGTTTTATATTTGTATGTATGGCTGCTCATTGTTTGTCAGAAGCTTTGTAAACTGTCCTGCGGCCTGTTTTGGCCGAGACAATCTTTAAATATAGACTTTTGATCTCAACCAGTTTTCTCCTGGTTAAATAAAGGTTAAAAGCTTTATATGCGATTGTTTGATCCAGCAGATGTCGCCCTTGAGCACCAGCATGAAACCAAAACAACTTGCGCTGCATTGTTGTGTTAGCATGCTAATGCTAGCGATCTTTATTATGCTGGTATCTTCACACTGCATGTAAATTTACCTGAAATGAGCGTGATCTAGAAACACAGTTAAGCAGTGAGTACAGTATGTTATTCTTCTTTTCTCTAGTCCCTCAATTAAACAACTTTTATACACGAGGGGAGGAGTCAGCCGGCCGTCCGGGCGATGTAAACAAACTGAAGATAGGACTCTGAAAACTCTGAAAACATCACAGACAGTGGGACTCGGGTGTTACACCCATTGTAGACAGTCATGACTCACAGAGTTATTTTCAGAGGATATACTTGATTTATATTATATTTAAGAGTGAAAAATCACATATAAAGACTTTAAAGAAACAGAGATATCCATACATACAGTATATATGCTTATTTGCTTTATTATTCCTCTTTCATCATTATCACAGTATTGGACCCTGTTTCCTCACATTGCATATTCTTTGATCTCACATCCTGCAGGTTTAATTTGCAGCAGCACTAGACTCAGCTCTAATAAGGAGATGATAATGCACACTCTCAATGATATGCCTCACATGTTACTTTGCACAGGTTTAGATTGCAGTGAACGACGTCGCAGTGGTTTAGAAGCTGCAGCTCTCCGTTTGAGACTTTATGATGTCGTTAAATTAGCGGGTCATTGGAGCAGTAAAGTTCACGGCCTGCAGAGCACCATGTGTGCTCCTGCTGGACCAACACACAGTCCAGACAACTTTTTTTTTTTCTTTTAGCTCTGCAGATTTAAAACCCATTCTCAAAAGGAACACATACACCGATGATTCCTCTTCGTAAATAGAATAAATAAGAAACCCTTTCATACCGGGGACTTTCTGGCTGCGGAGTTGAGAAGGTGAGTCGTAAATCTCCAGGACCCAGTCGCCTGCTGCCTTCTCCCCCCAGCAGTGGGTGGTCATAAACTCCCAGTTCTTAAAACCCTCCATGGAGTGATCAAACAACCTGCACAAGACCAGGAGCACACGCACGCACACACACACACACACACACACACACACACACACACACACACACACACACACACACACACACACAAACGATACAAACACATGAGCACAAAAAATAATAATAATAATAATAATAAATGAATAAAAAAAAAATCACAGATGAGGGAGAAGCTTAACTGTAGAAAATGAGAAAAAACAACCAATCAGAGTCATTGACACACTGTGGGAGAACATGTTAGAGGGCTGCAGGTAATTCAGCCAGAACTAAAAAACTATTGTTGTCAACGAAGACGTTAAAATACAGTAATCATCATTTCATTCAGTCCATTAAAACAGAGTAAACATCTCCTTTAGCTTCTGTTTCTGCAACACACATTTCTGTTGTTTTTTTCTTCTACCTGTTGGCGAGCAGCTGAGACTTGGTCCCTGAGGGCGAGGTCAGGTTGATTGACAGGTCCCCACGGCGAGGGTGTGTGATTGTAATCCGGACGACCACGTGCTCCAGGTAGATGACGTGGTGGTTGGGGTTGTCGGTGCATCCCGTCGCCTTGTACACCGACCGGACCACGTGCTCTGGACGGATGGTTCTGGTGGAAGACACAAGGAGAAATAATAAAGGAGGCGGACATGAACGAGAAGTTTACGTTTACTTCTTGCAGGAACTTTGAAGACATACAAGAGAAAGGATGAGTAGCATGGTTCAAAAACATCAAATAGTGCATATCAGCTGTAACTCAGTTTTCTGTTCTCCGTGTTTCCCACAACACTTCTTTATGCAACATGTTTCTTTTTTGTAATTTTTTTACATGCCTTTCACTGTACAATGGGAACGCGTGCATTTGAAACTACTGGTGACAGCTTTTTTCTTTGTATTTTAAGTATTAGTGCACAGATTGACACAAACTTCACCCCCATAAAACACTACCAAACATTACCTGCATCATTAATATCATTGTATTGTTGTACTGTATTATTATTATTTAGCATCAATATATATATACTGTACATTCTTATTATATTATTATATACATTTCATTATATTACACTATATTATTATATATCTGCACTCTGCATTACTGTGGTATAACACTGCCTCTCTTCTCTGCTGTTTTACATGACTTGCTGCTATTGATCATACCAAGTCACTTTAATCATCACTTGTCACTTTATCTTGCCATTCTGTCTCAATTCCCTGCAGTTTACTTCATCACTCATTCATTTTGTACTTGTATATACCCCCTGTTTTTATTTATCTTATCTAATCTATTCTGTTTAATGTGAATTTTGTATTTTGAGCTTTCTTGTCTGTGCTGCTGCGACGCCCGAATTTCCCCTCTGGGAATCAATAAAGTACTATCCTATCCTAGATTGGAACCAGACTGTTAATTAGTGTAAATCTAAGATTTATCTGTTGTATTTGTGTGTCCTCAGTCAGATTGTACCTGTACCTGTTTTCAAATTCAAACTGTGTTATGAATCCTTCAAGGGGAAATTCATTCAGAGCAGCTTGTGCATAAACGACAAAAATATAACAGACGAAACAAAATGATACACAAGAGCTCAAATATGAAATAAAATCTCTCCCAACACTGAGACATTCTGCTTACTCGACTCGTGCCAAATATTCTTTCAGTGACATAAAAATCAATAATATCACGTTTCAAACCCCAGAGGAACTCTCAAAAGCAATTACACTTTCTTCTTCTGATCTAACCTCCTCTTAAAGCCAGGAAACAAGCCATGTTTTAGCTCTCTGTCCATATTTTCCTTTTCCAAGACCTCAGAGGGCCAAAGAGAGAAAAAAAAAGGGATGATAAGAAGGACAAAGTCTGTCAGCTCTGCACAACTCACAGGCAGAAAACCTCATGAAGAGCCAAGGCAAACATCTAATGAACCGTTGAAAAACACTGCTGGTATGATCTAATTTAATAGAAATCAAAAACATCAGGTTCAGCTGAGGGGACAGGAATACTAATCAATCCAGAGCCAGGCCTCCTAGAAGGAGTGATGTGCTGTTGCTCCACACGGAGATGCTGAGTCAACCTGACACTCTCAGTACTCCATTACATGCCCGGCTTATTCTCTGGACACTACAACAAGGCTGGTGCAATAACATATAAAAAGCATTACTATAATATGTAATACAGAGTTCAAGGACAATTATTGTCAACGACTTGTGTGGCTTGATCTTGTCTTGGAAAATGTTTTATTAGATTCCCAGTTGTCACAGTTACAAACTATTTATTAAAGCCTTGATGCTTCACAGATGTTCATCAGGGAGAGGAAAATAAAACCCAGAGACAATTATCACAGTAAAGGTTGTCTCACGCCGTGCAATGAAGATGAAGATTGTTCTTTGGAAAAACTTACTCCACAAACTTCAGTCAGTCGCTGATTGGGAATTTTTGCAGTTGTTTGAGAAGTGTTTGAGCTAAAGGAAGAATGTGTGACATGTTACAATTAAATACATCAGAAATCAAGTATGTGAGTGAGAAGTGTGAGTCCCGCCACCTGTACTGTTGTCAGCACTGTGTTTACATCATGTTTACATGGACGGGACGACCTTGTGTATAAAGCTGTTTTAGTTACTGACTAGAGAAAAGAAGAATAACATACTCACTGATTATTTGGATGTCATGTCAGTGTCTTTAGATCTCGGTCATTCTGTGTCAGTTTATGTGGCAACATGAAGCTACAAGCTAACTAAAGAGCGCTAACACTAGCATGCTAACACAACAATACAGGACACAGGGGATTGCAGCTCGAGCACAGGACAATTTAGTCCGCAGCTTGCACTTTATGGTGCGTTCTAATTGATAACTCCTTCATGCGAACACGACTGGAGAGGGGTTGGAGGTGTGTCTCTGGAGGAGAGCGGCGGTGTGGCAAAACAGCAGTTTGTTTTGGTTTCATGCTGGTGCTTAAGGGCGACATCTACTGGATCAAAAAGTCGCACATTCTTCCTTTAAAGGTGCTGGGTTTAACGGATGTATGCTGAATTTTTAACTATAGTCTCTTTTAACACATGTAATGCACTCCTGAGAAGGTCACAACATTTTGGGGTTTGGCTGCACATACGAACACAATCAGCCTCCTAACACGTCGACTGCATGCACCAAACCATGACATATGAACTGTGACCGTTAACACACCTACACTAGAGTGTGTGTAGTGTGTGTGTTCAACAGGATGGGCTAGGAATAAGAAACACTTTATAGTCCCATCAGGGAATGTTTTTTTCCCTCTCCTCCCGTCTGCTAAATCTGCCGCTGTGAGGGTCATGTGTGAGAATAGCAGCTCAGGAAAATGTCAGTCATGGGCAGTGTATCAAATTTCCAAAGGTATTTTCAGTGTGCATGTGTGAAAGGGACTAATGCTGAAACTTATTCACCTGTCACGTAGTAATCAGATAAGGTAGTAACTAATAAAGAGGAAAAGTGGCTTATAATTATTGAAAGCAGCACAGTTTAAAATGTTTTTCCAGCGAAAAGGAATCCCAAATGACTTCTCTTTTTTTTCCTTTCCCTCCATCTCAACCAAGTCGCATAACATTTGAACGGCTAACAGTCACTAAATCAATTTAATTAAACCCTTCTGAACGCAGAAATACACAATAAATTCTGAGAGCTCAAGCAGACATGATGGAATGAAAACAGAGAGAAAACTTCACTCTCTGACGTCTCTTTCACAAGTCGGCTGTTTGGAAAGTGAACAGAGGCGTAATGGCCGGGGGGGGGGGGGGGGAGTCCAGTCCAGCACTGATATCACAGCTCTGGCTTCTCGATGACACAACACAGATAGCTGAAGCATACGCAGGGGAGCAGAGCCGGAGCAGATGCACAGCTGATTACCAGCAGCCGTGATTGCACACAGATCAGGGGCCGCCTTCCCCGGCTGGCGTGCTCCAAGTGGAGTGAGGCGAGCGATAGCTAGACAGACATTACCCAAACGCAGTCAGAGGGGCCGGCCAGAGGGGCCAGCCAGAGGGGTGTGTGGGAACACAGCAGAGAGAGGTGACGGCTGCTGCACTCGTGGAGCCAGTTAGACACACACACACACACACACACACACACACACACACACACACACACACACACACACACACACACACACACACACACACACACACACACACACACACACACACACACACACACACACACACACACACACACACACACACACACACACACACACACACACACACACACACACACACACACACACACACACACACACGCACATGCACACACACACCTATGATGCCGTCATAGAAAGAAAGGAGACATTTTACACACAACTCAATCTCAAAAAAGTTAGTCTGTGAAAGAGAAGGAATGTGCGATCTGAAAAATTCAGTTACACATAAAAAAAAACTTTCATGACTTCTCTGCCTTCAAGTCCAAAAAAAAAAAACACAAAGCCTTTTTGTTTCCCGGAGATTGCCTGCTTTGACTCTAAGCGTGTCGAGGCTAATTCTGTTTATAAACAAGGCTTGCGCTCCAAGCGACCGGGCAAACGTGTGACTGACCATTTCACACTTCTTAAAGTCTACCCCATAAAAAACAACGACGCTAAAATGACAGGGTTTTTTTTATTTTTTTTTATTTCTCGCACCAGCAGTGGAAAGCTCTCCATAAAGCCAGCACACATTAACATGAGCGCAGAGGGATGGGGGGGGGCTGCACGACTGCCTTCAGACACACAGGGCTGGACTTCATATGGACTGACTCGTGCACCGGAGCAGAACAGACAGAATGACACTGATAATGCTGCAGTCTCTGGCCCCACCGAGCCCTTGGACTGAAAAGCAAACCAGCTCAGAGCCCAAGTTCAGCCAGCCAGCCCGCCTAACACAGAACAGCGCTCAGACTTCCAGCTGCATCAAGAATAACAAGCTGTGAAGCTCTGGCTCTCCTCTCATATGTGTGTGTGTGCGTGTGCGTGTGTGTGTGTGTGTGTGTGTGTGTGTGTGTGTGTGTGTGTGTGTGTGTGTGTGTGCGTGTGTGTGTGTGTAGTAAAGGTCTTATGTGAGAACCACCCTGCCAGAACTAATGCTTGGCCCCTATTAAGGTACAGCTTGCACAACTGCTCTCACATGCCGCTGTATAAAACAAAAAAAAAGATGTTTCGACACATTTGTTGCTCTTAAAGTTTTCTCCCTTATCCACTTTGAATATTTACCAAAAATCAATGGACACGACGGTATGGATTTCTTTACGTCAATCAGAGGTCTATAGAAATGCTCTCCATGATTCTGTCACAGACGTATATTTCCAAAGCGATTCTTTGCCGACTCAGTTCTCGTGAGTTCAGAAGGGATCCAACCCAGTGTGCACTTTTTGGTTGACAGATGTTCTGCTTTATCTCCTTGTTAATTGTTTAGCACCAATACACCAAGTCAAATTCCTTGTATGTGTAAATGTACTTGGCAATAAACCCTGATTCTGATTCTGATTCTGAAAAGCGGGATTTTTTGTCAACGACTCTTTGCAGAAATTGATTAAATGTTTCCCTTTTGACCAAATTTAAATCAGGAAATCACAGATGCTGATATTCAAGTTGCATCTCATATTAATAAGGGCTTCAATGATTATACAACTGGGAATCATCAGACAACAAAGACAATAAATTCAAGCAGGGGATTCAATTTGATCTAAAAGCAAGATGCACTCTCAAATCCGACTCTAATCACCGCAGGCCAATAAGTTTTGTCCTAACTTTCCTTCCCATCAGATGTCAATCAACTACGTCAGCATGCAGAGATCAGAGTGGCTTCAGAATCAGAGTTTAACAGCTGAGCTAAGTGTTTAAAACTTCTCTCATAAGTCGTCCCTCAACTTTCTTATAACGTGACCACAGCCCCCAAAGCACCAAATTCATTTTCTTTATGAATGTGTTCAAATTCATTCTCTAACTCGACCAAGTTTCATCACATCGCTGCAAAGTGCTTCCAAAGCTTCCAACGCTAAAATGATCAAATAAAGCTTAAAACATGATTGTGTTTTTGTGACACGCTGATTTTGTAACTGGGTTGTAACCTGTTCAAGAATGGATAAAAGACTCGCTTTATGTTCAGACTTTATTTCACTCTGTTTTCAACCAAATATCAACACTGAGGCTGCAGCGTCAGGACAAACATCAGGGTGAAACATCTGGTCTGGTGGTGTTCACACATCAAGATAACCTCTAGAATCTCCGGGTGTGAAAGAGACTACTTTATCATACTTCTTCAGGTGAATATGACGTACAGTAGTTCTGATCATTCATGGTTGTTCGTCCACTTGAAAGTGCAGCATATCAGAACCTTAAAGTCAATACTTGTTTCCAAACCACTATGGCAGAACATAGTTGTGTGTGTGTGTGTGTGTGTTTTCTACCTGATTTGTCGGTCAGCGCTCTCCACACAGACGTGCTGTGTAGGGACTTGCTTCCATCGTGCTGCCTCCTTCACCATCGCCTCGGCGTCCATCAGACCGAAGCCGTAGAGGTGGCTGACTGTTGGGGGCAGAGAAAAGTCACACACTCTGATGCTGACTGTCATGTGTCTCATACCAGTGATGGTTAAATAAACAGGATTGTTTCAGTTTAAACTCCTGGTGAAGAACTGCAGGTTTCTCCCTTTCAGTATCAAAAACTATAGATCACATTAAAGTCTTTATATGAGATTTTTCACACTTAAATATAATATAAATCAAGTATATCCTCTGAAAATAACTCTGTGAGTCATGACTGTCTACAATGGGTGTAACACCTGAGTCCCACTGTCTGTGATGTTTTCAGAGTTTTCAGAGTCCTATCTTCACTTTGTTTACATCGCCAGGACGGCCGGCTGACTCCTCCCCTCATGTATAAAAGTTGTTTAATTGAGGGACTAGAGAAAAGAAGAATAACATACTGTACTCACTGCTTAACTGTGTTTCTAGATCACGCTCATTTCAGGTAAATTTACATGCAGTGTGAAGATACCAGCATAATAAAGATCGCTAGCATTAGCATGCTAACACAACAATGCAGCGCGAGTTGTTTTGGTTTCATGCTGGTGCTCAAGGGCGACATCTGCTGGATCAAAGAAATCACATATAAAGCCTTTAAAGAGTAGAGGTGGGGTCAAATGCCAATACGGCAATATAGCGTCAAGCTGAACGGTGAAACATTTATTAAATCACTGGAGCCAAGTATTTATAGTTGAATTTTTAAAAATGTGGCGCTCCACACAGATTTCTCTGCCAATTTAATTTCCCGTACGAGCCCCCAATTTTTCATAACCTGGCTCAAGGGCCACGACAATTATGGGAAGGACTCATTATTTGGCTGCAAAAAAGCAAAACAAGTTTAAAAACATTGCCTATGAAAGTTGTTGTACAGATTTGTTAGAGATCCAAGACGTGTGCGTAGAAGAGGAAACATCGCCCTGTTCCTTCACACATATTATGACGGACTGATTGAAATACTCAGGACACAAAATGCAGCTGTCTGAAAAAGAAAGTTTGGAAAGTTCCCAACGCTGAGTTACAGCAGCTGAGATATGAATTCCTTCCACACGTCTCTCCTCCCTCCTCTCCTGTTTCTCTTTAGTTCCTCTTTGAAAACAGTCACTTGGAAAATCTCCAGACACACTGGGCCTGCAGCCTGGCTGACCCCTCGTTCTCACTCTCACTTTCTCTCCTCCAAACACACACAAACACACATTTACACACTCAGGTATGCATACAGAAGTAAGCAAGCACTCGCACTCACAAGGTTACAAAACAGAAACGACCACATGGACCCTGACAGATGGCAGCTGGCGGAGCAGTTGTACATTTTTTTTCTCTCTCGATTGGATGAAACTCATCCAGGAGTCAAAATAATGCATATCGGTTTCTCTGGGACTACGACGAATCAGGAATGCAACTCCTGCTTAATTGATGCGGACGACATCTGCTGAGGACGTTCAACAAACCGCAGCGTTATGCCCAGAACATGGTTGCTTCATTCTGATGCATTTGTAGTCGTCAAACACGAGAGGATTTAGATTTCCCTTTTGTCAAAGCAAATGACAAATATTATTATCAATTACAGAGAAACTGAACATAGCTTGAAAAGTTTAAATTTTTCATGTTCTGAGTCATGTACGGAAGCCCTCAGAGGACATGCATCAATACATTTTATGTGACTCTTCCAGTGAATTTTAGTTATTTTCAGCTCACTTATGTCATTATGTCGGGTTAATGGTGAGTTCAATTTGATCTGGGAAGTCAGAAATTCAGAGTTGCCGTCTGATACATTGTCAGGAACGCCCCCCCTGAAGTCGGAGTTCCAACTTTGAAATTTGGGAGAAAATTCGGTAGGTCGAGTTTAATCTGTATCAGCAAAGTAATCCTCTTTTTGTGGAATTCAATAAATCACATCGCAAGCATCGTGCAGCTTCTATCTGTGGACATGTTGCTAAGATATTTATGCACACAAACTATCACGTAGTGTTTTGTTATTGCCAGGTATTAGATTACCAAACAAAAGGTACTGCTGGAGGCGTTCATGTTGATTGACTGACTTGCAACAGGAATGCGGTAAACTCAAGCATGACGTCATTCCCGGCTCCGAGGTAAATGGAAAGCGCCATGACAACGCTGGTTTCCTGTGATGACTTGTTTATTTCAGCTGTTTTCTTTGACCTCGATGCAGTTACTCGTTATGATGCCTGAATCAAGGTTGTTAATCTTGAGGTAAACGACATAAATGAGTTGATATCTGGAGAAAACAACATCCAGAAATGACTCTGAGTTAATAAAATGTATGGATGTGTGTGTGCTTAGGGCGTCGTAGTCCTGGTGTTATGACGGTTTGAAAAGATATATCAAACTAATGTCACTTTATATAATAACTAGAAAGTTTTAGAGCTGATCAACAGCCGGAAGTTTATTAATTACCAATAATTCAATCCTAACAAACAAAAGGAAACAATACAAATTTCTAAAAATTATATAACTTATGTCTGTAATGCAAATAAGAAGTGCGCATTTGTGTGTGTGTGAGAGTGTGTGTGTGTGTGTGTGTGTGAGTGTGAGTGTGAGTGTGAGTGTGAGTGTGTGTGTGTCTGTGTGTGTGTGTGTGTGTGTGTGTGTGTGTGTACCGTTGTAACCAGCAGCATTGGTCTTCCAGTCGGGGGCGCTGAGATGTCCCGCTCTGGAGGTCTTCACAATGATATGCTGAACGTCTCTCCATGTCAGTTGAGGACTAGAAAAAGACAAAGACACAAAAACAAAGAAAATAAAACTTTATTGATCCTTTTGTGTCGAATCCAAATGACTTAAAAGGAATTCACATTCACATAAAGACCAGCTTTTTTCTGCGCAAAAAATGGTCGTCATTTTTCAAGATTTATCACACGAGAGGGACACATGTTGTGATTAATCTCAGCACATTACAGCGTTGTGCCAAAGTTAATCACAGCGTCTCGACTTTGAGCGTCATATCGCTTTTAGACAACAGTTCTACCACCAAGACGTAAAACATCTTTTTTTGCTCCTTCAGTTCAACCTCTTAACTGAAACTGACCTGTTGCCAAGCAACCCCAACATTCTCCTGCACTCTGATTGTGTGCGTCTTTAGGGCCTTTCAGGTAGGACGCGGGGATTAGTGTGACCTGACGCCGTAACTTAAGACAGAACTCATACTCAGCTGGTGCAACAGGCCGCGGCTACTTGTGTTTGTTTTCATTCATGATGCAGCGAGGGAAACAAGAGTCTGTTTTAGTGAGTCATCCAGCTCGATTAATCACCTCAAACTCTTCCTGCTGATCGGTTACAGTACTCAAAAGACCTGGCTGAGGAGGAGTGATACACACTGTGAAAAGTCCCAGGGATGTTGTTAACACTGTATCAATATCATGCCTCTCGTCCAATCAGAACACTCTGACGGATGTGTAAAAGTATTTTTTTGTTCAACTGAATCACTGTCGGTTTCTTTTTCCCTTTGCGTTATTTCATCTATCACTTGATGAACCTTGACCTTTACTCTGGGCTGGTATGACATCTACATATTCTGAAATGTGAGATCAATATATTATCTTTTTATGCACATTTAAAGAGATACACACACATTTAATCTACACATGCATGTATAAAAATGACGAGGTCACGCAGCCCTTGCGATGTAAATAAAGGAATGAGGATGAGGAATTAGACTCTTAATAACGAGAAACAAATAATAAAACTTAAGAAATAGGACTAGGGGTTGCAGTGGCCTAGTGGTTGTGCACACACACCCATGTACGGAGGCTACAGTCCTCAAAGCGGGCGGCCCGGGTTCTAATCCGACCTGTGGCTCCTTTCCTGCATGTCATTCCACTCTCTCTCTCTCTTTGATTTCTGACTCTATCTACTGTCCTGTCTCCAAAATAAACGGCCCAAAAGCCCCAAAATTAAACCCTTAAGGACGAGTAACATTGGCAACAAATCTCCTTGGAGGAGAAATAAAAAGGTCTAACGAGAGAGAAACGTGAAAGCGGGAAAGAAAACAAAGTTACATACAGTTAGGTGGAAAAATACTGAGAGAGAAAATTACAGAGGGAGGCAAACATGGCGAGCGTAGATGCCCGTTCACCCGTCCCTCGTCTCTCTCAGATCTCACGTGAGATCCATTACGAGATGGCAGCCATGTGTCCCGACTTCTTTGATGTCCACACACTACATTAAAAAAAGGGGAGAAACCGGGAAAGAAGTGGGTCACTGAGTTTCCAGGGATTCCCTACCATCTCATATGCCAGCCAGATGCTTCAGTCCCGCCCCCTCCTGTCACTCCCTCGCCTTCTGAAACCTCCTCAACGTGCACTACTCTGAATCAGGCGACCTAAAAAAAAACTTGCATTCTGCAAACCTCTCTCCGGATTTAACAGGATTTAAATTTTAAGAAGTCATGTGAGAGACGGCAGATAGAGTCTGAAGTGAACACAATGTGCTCTCTCGCATGTTGAGCTGCTTCTTGAGTCTTTCACAACTGACCCTGAGATCTCTTTCTATAAAAACATGCAGGAACCACTTTGAAGTCTGTAACATCTGGAGGAGTCTCAGCGTCACATATAAAAAGGTGCTGACTTCCAGAGATTAAATGTGTGATTTATTCTGGGACTGTTCGAGGTTATTTTATCGGTTTCTGTGGAGAAGAACGTCAGGGTGGAGGAGAGGGCTCTTCTTGAATTCCTAATCTTGTCTTCAACATATTTCTTCTATGTTCATATCACTTGTTTTATGGCTTTAATCTAAAGCATGTGTACTTGTAAAGTCACTTTTGTTTGTATGTTTAATGCCAATGCTGAATATCAATGTCCATCAACATGGTGCAATGTGTGGAATGAAGCCCTGTGTCCATCTAGCTTTTTTTTCTGAGCGCCAACATCTTTTTCCTCTCTTTTTTTTCGAGTCTGCCTGTCTTGTACAGTTAACTAAGCATGCTTCATAATTACTTAGAGCCATGCATGTGTTGTATTACGTTGTTATGTACAAGAGGTAACCGTGCTGAGGCCCGGTTAGTCCTGGAGCAGTGTGAGTGCAGGCCAGCGGGGGGACAACTTGCTTAAGTTAAGATAAGTTACTTCAAGCCACCCCAATCACCCATCCCTAGCTTGTGAACATGTTTCCATCCTATAGCTCTTTTAGCTTGTAAGAGACACAAGTGAAAAAGGTGTCACTCACTCTTTGACAACATATGACACATCATACTTTTTTTGCTATGCTATGAACCCGAGGTGTTACATCCCAGGATGCACTGCGGCTAAGACATCAACACAGGCTGAAAAAAACTCCCATGTCATGAGGGAGGCCACACTTTTCCAAATATGTTGAAGAACAAAGACTGAACATCTGCAAAAATAAAACATCAGCTCCAACATAATGAAAGGATGGTAGCACAGATAAGTGCTCTGAAAAGTCAGAATAATTAATGCTCGGATCAATATTAATAGGCTTAGCTGCCACTGTGTAATTACGGTTGCATAAATGTTTTATGGTCATTAATTAAAAGTGACTTTGGCATCGTTATCTAGGCCACAACAGGCTTCCCATGAACTAATTAATGGAGAAGCTGGCATACAGGGGGGACACCGGCAGCAGATCAGTGTGTCTAATATATGGTTTCTTGGTGCTTCTCTGAAGTGTAATCATGGATGAAAACCCATGAGCGGCATGCAGACCCTCTCACCTTGTTTACACCAGAGGTTTAAGATTACACATTCAACTGCAGTGAGCATACTTTCAGCTAAAATCTCCCTCCCAGGCCTGAATCTTTTGAAGCAGATGAATGGAGAAAAAAGCAGTTTTCTTTATTCCCCCCCACATCTGTCCCTGCTTTGGTTTCTTAAAACCTCCCAGTAGACGAGGTTCTTACGGTCATCCGTCCTCATTTCTTGTTTATCCCTCCTAATGTCCTCACTGAAGTCTCCTGTCTCCACGTTCACTCACTTTTCCCATTTCTTCACTTCTTCTTTCCAAGGACAAAAAAAGAAAGAAGGGGGGAAAAGAAATGAAGGGTTTTTTGAAGTCCTCCTGCTTGCCGTGCTAGACTTCGAGCCCATAAAGAGATAAATCATGTGCAGACTTAAACATCTTAAAGTTGGCAAAATCTACAGAGAGAGCGAAGCAAGCGACCGTTTTCCAAAGAGATCCAATCCACTCTTGAACCAAGGGTGGGGGGGGAAACCTCACGGCAGAGAGTTAAGTGAAGTCTAGCGTGATGGCGTCTGACATGTTTATCACAGAAGAGGTTTGCTCGCTTTCATTCATCGGATAAGATCAGATACGATCTGTACGGTGCAGAGTTTGTCTAAACTGTTTTGCTCTCCTCTTTCATCCTCTCCTTTTTGCCTGTGAGTGCATGCATGCGAGTGTATCCACCCAGAAACCGAATGAATGAGAGGAAGGAAAGAAAGAGCGATTGCCTAGAAGAAGGAGGAGGGAGGGAGGAAGGGAGGGGGGGGGGGGGGGGGGATCAGCGAGCACGACAGAGAGGAGGTGAGAGCGAGCCGAGGAGAAGAAAGCAAACAGTAGAGGAGCAGTGTGTGATAATCTTGTTGAGGAAACAGGCTTATGTGCCCGGCACTGCCAGGAAACGGAGAATATTTTCTACTGGGAGGATTTGGATTGGATTATCCAGGTTAAATGAAGTGACCTCGGCTAACTGAACGGCTCAACATGTGATGATGGGATAAAACCCAATTCAGAGTCTCGGCACCTGCACTGCACGCTTTCTAATTCATGAATTTAGCCACAAATAAAGACACACCAACACTCCTTCAAAAGAAGAGGCAGGGCAAGAATCCATGCTGCCTCGCACATGAAGCAACCAGAGCGTCTAAAATGGAATAAGGCCAGGAGAGGACAGTGAAAAGCAATTCCAAGAAAAAGACCTGTGTCTAACTTCTCTTATCTCTGAAAGTACAAACTTTTAAATTGGTGCTCGAGTCCCTTCTGGCAGAAATTTTTAGGCATGAAAACCCCCCAAAAAAAGTCTGTGGAGCCGTTCTTGTTGCAGCATGAAATTCTTCTAAAAGATCTAAATGGTTTTAGATCTATGAATTTCTTGCCTAAAATAACAATTGCATCAACATAAAGGTGACCTTGTCGTATACTTTAGGACTGATGATGTGCATGAGTGGTCAACTAAACTAATGTAGGCCCACAATGTCGGATAAATGTTGTGTCTTAGCTGTAATACAGTCAGCCACCACTAGATGGTGCTGTGGATAACTGGTCTGCACGCTTGGCTCTACAGCCTGGATGTAAAGCAGCACGATGGATGGATGGCATCTGGTCTCCGTGTGTTATCATGTCGTAAAAGGTGACTTGTTTCAGAGGTGATGTATTTATCTTAAATGTTATTTGGTTAACTTTTATTCTGTGATTTGTCGTCGTTCTTCGAGGGAGAATGTGCCATGTTCATTTTCAACTTTGCAAAGTGCCACATTTGAGAGGCATTTAAGTAGCAATCATCGATATCGAAGAGTTTGATGAACTGTTTCAAACAGCAATTAAACAAAGCTACATGCACTCTTTAGGACAGTGAGAAGCAGTGTAATCCAAATTGTGCTCAGTTTTGACTGGTTTGTGTTTTTCTTTCTTTAGACGAGTCAACTAGTTGGGATTTGAGTGTCTATTTAATCGTATTGTCTGAATCTTACAGTAATATTCTTGTCGACTGTCTTGCGAAGAAATTAGCATCTATTATGGCAAGAAGTTGATTTGGGAGCAGATTTATATCCTGCATGAGTGTTAATGTAAAGTTCAGTTATACTTAAGGGAAGTAAAAAATAGTGATGACATTTTTTATTTTAAAACTATTAAAGACTTCTGCAGCAATAAAAACAAAGTGGAAATGTAAGATTTTGGTGATGAAATTCTCTGGATATATTTTTGGATGAGGATTCAGCACGCATATAAATGACGGGTGATAAGGGTGAGCACGTTTTTATTTATTTTATAACTATATCAGAATACTACACCTTAATGTTTGCTTTTCGGATTTTACAGGGTTACTTTCGATTTATAAAGTTTAATTTAAGACATTTTAAGACCTGAACCCTCCATTTCTGTATGCAAAGACATGAGAAAAATGACAAACAGAATCTTGAATCTTACATTTCCCCATCTCGTCGTCACTGACGCAGTGAATCGTCCCATGAACGAGCAAATCCACAAAGAAAACCACTTTAATAATACTAATTCGTGTTGTATTTTATATCGTTGGAAAGCCTGATTAGTCACCTTTACAGCGAGGTATAACTTGTAAGGATCGTGCATTCGTGGAATGAGCAACACAGCTAAACGTGTGGGTAGTGCCCTAAAAAAATGCATTATAAAATGCTCAGTAGATCGTGTAGATTTCATCAAATTTTTCAGACGTCTCTCAGTAAGAGCCGATAAAAAAGTAACACCTCTAACACTAAAATGTAAACCTTTTAAGACATTTTATGAACTTAGAATTTAAAACTCGAACTTAAGGCTTTTTAAGCGTCTTGTTTTATTTTAGCTTCTAATTTAGCAGTTTTTTTTCTTTTTATTTGTTGGTTAAATAACAATCTTAACACTCTCTTATCATGATTTTGTTTCCCGTTGTCCCGATGTTTATACCTCTTGTGAAGCATTTTAAATTGCCGACATGTACGTTATAAATAAACGTGTCCGCCCTAAACCTCTGACACCCTGAATGTCTGCACCAAACTCTGCAGGATTCAACAGACTTAAACAAAGATAGCTTCTCCAATCAGTTAAATGCATCTTCACCTCTGACAACAATGTGTTGATGAGAAAATGCTTCACCTGTTCCCGTTATAGATCAGTGTGTGCACAGGGGACAAGAGAGCATTAGGAGGTAAGCGAGGGGCAGAGGCATGACGTGAAGGGATGAGGTTAAGTGGATCTTACTTTGCCTCCAGGGCCAGAGCAATAATGGCAGCGGCCATGGGAGCCGAGGCGGATGTCCCCGTGTGACTGTCTGTACACCGATGTCTCAGGTCTGTTGTGATCTGCAAACACACAAGAGAAGAAAGGAGTGAGAGATGTGAGAGAAAGAGGAATCAAAGGATGAAGGAAGAGGTAAAAGGACGAGAGAGAAAAATAAATAAAAGATAGAGAAAGAGGAAACCAGAGGAAGGAGTGGAGAAATAAGTGACGGTGATGGCAAGAAGAGAGGAGGCAAACAGACAAACAGAGAGGGATTGAAGTCAGGAGGATCAGGAGGATTTAGACACACCTGAGAGTCCTGAAACTCACAGAAAGACAACAAACACTCTCAGAAACGAGTAAATAAAAAGTGCCACTTTCTACAAAAAAAAGTCAAGGTGTGGATTCAACTCCCAAGGAGAATCGAAAGATAACGAGAAAAAGAAGGGAATTACTGGTCGTAAAAACGTGTTGTTAAACAGTTCACTTTGATTGTACGGACTTTAGACAGCCAACAAGTCAGCTTGACGGTGAGTCAGCCAAGAAAAAGCTTGGCTAACCTCCAGTCCTGAGCCCTCATCAAAGGACCTTTCCTGGACCAAAAAAAGAGTTTGACGGATTATCTGACGACACACACACACACACACACACACACACACACACACACACACACACACACACACACACACACACACACACACACACACACACACACACACACACACACAACACACACACACACACACACACACACACACACACACACTCGCACAGAATCTGAAATGGTTCAGTCAGAAGTTAAAGTCGTCCATTTCTTTTTGTTTGAGTTGACAGGACACAGCGTGTGCTCGAGCAGATTAGGTTCAACGTTCACATACAGGAGAGTCTACTGTTCGTGTTCAAAGCCAGAGAGAAAGCGTTTGGGTGTGTGTGTGTGTATTTGTGTCGAGAGTGTGTGTGTGTAGCATCGGTGCGAGGAATGTAGCAAGACGCTGCCAGACAAGCTAGCTCACAGTGGACAACTGTCAGCGCTGATCTGAGAGGATCACGGGGAGTGATCTGGGTCAGAGAGGGTCAGACCGGGCCACAACGCTGGACCCAAACAAATCCAAACAAGACCTGATTCACCAAGCGTTCATAGGAAGAGTTTTTTTGTACAGATAGTTTTTGTTCTTTCATCAGGAAAGGACAGTGAAGAGAGAAAGGACATGTCAGGAGAAGAGAGGGATGTCGAGGGTCAGATTTCACCCGGTGTCGCATGCACGTCGCGGGAGAATCGAAAATATGGCAGACACAAATTCAACGCTGCCATATTTTGCATCCACCCTAAAAGTCCCTATCCAGACACTGCAGATATATTAATTCAGGCTTGTACATAATCCTATGAAACGATAAGGACACTTAAAGTTTAGCATGTATAAACTTCAGATACCTGTCTCTTACACATTGTTTTTAACAACAATATGCAAGGTCTGTAGCCTCTGCACATAGGGCGCAGGCTGTAGCTACTGGGTCAAACCGGCGCCCTGAGGACTTCTTGTTTTGTTTTATTTACTGGGATTCACTCTTATTTTGAGTCCTGTAAATACATCAGACTATGCCAAATATGCCTTCATTCCTACCATTGTTATGCTGTGTTCCCAACAAACTTTATATCGCGTGTGAAAATTTGAAATCCTTGGCCAGAAAGAGGGAGAATTACAGGGTTTTTCTCAGAAAGGGAGAGGCGCCACAGTATGTCCTTTTGGTTCTCATGAAACACAAAAAGACGGAACACAAATTGTGGAAAACAAAGTACAAAACATTTGGAAATGAGTGATGAAAGAGGAAGCATTCAGGCTTTGCAGTGAATTCCGGTTGAGAGGATTTGTGCCCCTTTGACGGGTTTTTAAAAGTCTTACAATCTTTCTGTCGTAGTTCTCCCCGCTGCTGTAGGTGGTGGTCAGCGTGGACGAGCACTCCTCCAGGTACCACGGCTTCCGCCCGCTCTCGGCCGTGCTGGAGATGGAGATGGTGTAGATGGAGTTTGTGTAGCCGTCGCAGGAGCAGTGGTCTCTGCTGCGCCCGCCGTTGCCTGAAGCCCACACGAAGATGGAGCCGCGGCCCTTCCTCCCCTGACATGGAAAAAAACAAAAAAAACGCAGAGAGGACACGTTAAGAAGGCTTCTGATGGTAATGAC